CCTGCTAAGAGCGAAGATTAAAGAGGGTGAAGGTTATAGCCCCCCATCTATGTGGGTGTGTGGGAGATGGCTTTCACAGAGTCAGAAAGTAAGGAAGATATGGGAGTAGAGGTATAGGAAACACAGGGTGAGGAAGGTTCTAGACTTATTTTTCTCCTGCATCCTGAATTTACACTTCCCAATGGGAACTGAGGTTCTTCCTCTCAAATCCTTGCTTCCTATTCCGTAATTTGAAATAACAAGGTTCGTGGAACCAAGAATGGAATGTCAACAACTCTTCTGGAGGGAGTTTATTTTTCAAGAATAGCATAGAGTGGGAGGGTTGGTCTTTGGCACCCCATCAAAGTGTCCTAATTGCTGGAATTTTCAAACTGGTATGTTAGTAGTTATGAGTTAAATTTTTTCTGCAGAAGCAACCAAATAGTGTATTGGCATGCCTAGGTTTATAGAAACATTTAAAAAACTCATAGTACTACAGAATAAACATAAAATAATTAAATATTCTCTAATATTATACATGGAACTAAGATAATGTTACAACAAATGTTCAGCTGGGCCCAAGGTTAATTTTACAACTTATTCGGGGGAAGGTAAAGATCTTCAGTGTGCCCTTATGCACAAGACTTCTCATAGGATTTTTTTTTTTTTAATAAGTAAGAAATGATTTTGTCTTTTAAGTAATAATTTGATTCTGTGCTAAAGACAGATATTGTTAAGGAATTTTTCTTTGGTCTAATGTAATAGTTTGAGTCCAATGGCTCAAACTATTACATTAGACCAAACTATTCAGTTGAAGTTGGCATTAAGAGCTAAGATGATTGGGTGGGTCCCTATAAGGGCCAAAGACCCTCCATCAATAGTCAGAGAATGTACTTCTGACCCCAGTTGTAACTGAGTCTTGCTCCCTGCTTAGTCAGGGTTATTGTGAGGATTAGGTGAGGAAATGTATGTGACAGTGCTGTCATACGCTTCTCTGTAGATGGTGATGGTGAAAAAGAGAATATCATGAATGCTTCAAGATAAACTTTCTGCCACTGATGATAGAACCACTCAAAGCACTGCAGACATCTTAAGTATTTCCTTGGAGTTAAAAAAGGGAGGGGCGTTGTAATAGGTATTGTATAGGTAATTTATACAATATACACACTTGAATTTCCTCTAACAGCATCCCGGGACTTCACACAAAACAATCCTTCAGCATTAAAGAGATCAGAATATATATCCTAGTCAGATCGCTTTCAGTCTCAACCAAGCTTCTATGGGAAGCTCAAGTTTTAGACTGTGGAGTGAGTGTGAAGTTGTAAAATGCTTAAAGCTGGGGCTATTTGTGCTGCGATAAAGGAATACTGGGGCCAATATGCACACTTGATCCTAAGAGGTGATTACTGTTGGAAATGCTGGCACATTTCAGTTGTTTCCGCAAAAAGAGCCCCTTGAGAAACGGATTTAATACAATATTTAGGATGGTAGGCTTTTCCTCTGCCCGGCATGCAGCCTGTCATGGCAGAGAGACGTGTGTGAGGGAAACTGGTCCTTTAAATGCTTTTTCAGCTCAGTCGTGCAACAATGGCTTCTCACTTACAAGCACAGTGACGTGGAACTTCTAAGTTTCCTCCTCCCCAACGTTAAGATAAAGTGAAAGTAAACAGGCCCTTGGAAAATTACTACTGTTCTTCCTTATCCATGCACGTGAAAAAGGGTGGCAGAATTTGTTATATCTCTTTTCTTTTCAGTACTGCTTATACTCGGCTTTTCTACAGCAGAGCTCCTGCAAAGTATTTTCTATGGGACCCTCTTCGAGCACAAACTTTTATAATTGGCTTTTCTGCTTATGGTTGCAGAGGCAGAGGCATCTGAAAAGGCTTTGTGATCCATCTTAATTTACATATCTATGAGAAAGCTAATTTATTCTTTAACTGAAATTAGATGTTTATTTACCCCACCTCTATTCATCTGAAGCAGTTTTGTTTTTTTTTTTTTCTGAGAGGAACCAGGCCATTTCCTATAGTGCTCTTCTATCTTTAAATTTAAATGTACTCTTATCGATATTTTTCTACTGGTGGAATTTAATTTTGAACAGCTGCCCTCAGAGAAGAGATTAGATTTTGTATTTTGCAATAGTGTCTGAATTCTAACATCTCCATTTCTGATTCTTGAAAACAAAACAAAGACTGAACTAAGACATTACAATGGTTAATACAAACTCCTGACTTCAGCGTTTGCCTCAATTTCTTTCATAACTCTGTTTCTCAAGGTGAATTGGCATGCTCATTCCCACTGGATTTGATTGCTTGGTTTTACATGAAAGATTTCAAAGGCTGGACCCTATGAAGAAAATGTGAACTCCAAGAGAAAAAGGATTGGCGTTTTTTTCACAGCTATATTTCAGGTGCAAAGAACAAAGCCTGGCTCATAATGAATGCTCAATAAATATTTGTTGCATAACTGGGAGGAGAAGTATTTTGCCTATATAGTACTAAGCTGTCCTCAAATATTTTTAAAACTGCTTACCAATAACTGCCACTTATAACATTTTGAGGTTAACATATTGTTTCTTCACTAAAAGGTGTGGGCACATTTACTTGTTTTTTTTTTTTTTTTTTTGAGAAGAAAATCACATATTGAAAAGTTATATGTGAGATAACAAATTCAATTTAGTTCATTTAACCAAAGACTTATTTTTGAAATATTTATTAAGCAACTGAAAATAAGACAAAACATATATGGTTATAAGAAGACCATGCTGAGATGAATCAAATGAACCCAGGCTTCGAAATGCTTGTGATCAATCTAACAGGGAGATAGACACATGCATGTGTTAATATGTGTTATAAAGAGAAGGCCATGAAGGAGAAAGGGGATCAAATAGCCTGAGTTCCAGGGATGCCTCCAGGGAGGGAAAGGACTGTCAACTGCATCTCTGTAAACTTATCTCCTGGAAAAGAGGAGATATTCACATTTGTGGAACAAATGCATGCATGCATGAATGAATGAAGAAATTATCTCTTCCTCAAAGTTGAGTTTAAAATAAAGAAGGAAAAAACCCCATGAAATAAATAAATAAAATGGTGTTTCAGTGGATCAGAGGAAGAGACCACATCAAGATGAGGAAAGGTAGGATAAATCAGAGGTCAGGAAGGAGGTGGAGTTGAAGAGCAACCTTCTAGGCCCAAGCAATGAAACTAGTAAAGGTGTGGAAGGGGAAAGGGAAATGGAGAGCTTGTAGCCAAATGTAGCTGCAACAAGTTGTGGTGGGAATGAGGTTGGAGTAGGTTGGGCCTAGGAGTTGGGAAGGCAGGCGACCAGGTAGAGGAGTCTATTGGGCAGGCAAAAGGGAACCAGGCGAGTCCTCCCTGGGGGAGCATCCTGATCAGGGAGATGAGGAGTATTGGGACCATGAACCCAAACTGGTGGGAAGTTGCACAGAAGAGGATCTAAAAGCAGTGAGACAATTTTTGGAAATAAAAGTCACAACGATCTTATTTAGGGGATGGCGGAGGGATTAAAAAAAATTCCAGAGACTTGAAAAACTAGAATGGAACAGACAGGTGGTTAATTAGACACAGGGTTCGGGGAGGGAGATTAGGGAGGAGGGATGAAAAATGACTCTAGGTCCAAGTCTAAGTGACTGGGGAAATGAAACTTTTAAAAGGAATAAGAAAAGTGGCAGGTACAGCTACTTTTATTGGGGATGGTGATGGGGGAGTGAGGTTGGATTTAAACAAATCTTAGGTACAAAGATAAACAGTAAGAGATGTCCGGCAGGCAGCCAGTGATTATACAGTAGTTTCAGCAACAGGTTTTTAAAATTAATTAATTAAATTGAAGAAATGATTTAAATTTTTTCCTGTCTGCCTTGTTTTTTGTTTCTTGAGATATTCTCTATATCTACACACACACACACACACACACACACACACACACACACACACACACACACACACGCCCAGGAGAGTTTTGTAGTTTTGTTTTTTAAAGACTAGAGAAGATCTGTGTGTTTTTGAGACATAAGGAAAAGAATAAGGAGAGTGGTAGGGATGGAAGCAGCACATTAAAAAGGAATTACTGGAGCAAGGTCTTAGAGGAGGTAGGACAGACTGTAGCAAGAAGAGTGGATCTTTTTCAGAGCTAGGAAGGGCAGGTTGATGGCAATAGAGATTTCTGATGCTGCATCACTTAGATGGCCTAGGTCCCCACAGCCTGGTGTGGCAGAGACACATGTAAAAATAGACTGGTGGCTTGAGGAGGATGGCAGAAAAGATATAAACTAGCCACTGTGGACACTAGAAAATATCATAGAACTGTCAGACACAAAAATCAATCTAAAAAGGTTTATTTTGATGATTTATAAAAGAATTACCATCATAGCAACTTAAAGCAATTTACAAATTTAAAAATAAATTTACAGAAATGTATTCACATCATACTACATTAATCGGTTTTATTCCAATGTTACAGTAGTGTTGAACAAACACAACAAAACATAAACCAATTTCTAAGTCATATAAATGCCCTCAAAGCATGCTCCAAAACCACTGGAAGATGGTTCAGGAAAAAACTGAAAAAATATGATTTCAGGAAGCAGCAGAAAGATAATTATAACTTTACATTACAAACAGGCCTCAGGTGATGTGGCCTTTAAAAGTCACTTTAACTTTAAACTGTAACCAGAATTTTTCATGTAGACAAATTGAGAGGATTTTTTTGTTTGTTTTAATTCTGGTGAAGCTCATAGAACACACCAGACTTGGAATTTATTCTCTGATCCATGAGAAGGTAGTTTTAATCAAGGATGACATTATTTCTGGTTATTGGGCATCACATTTTTCTTTTGTGTGTTACATGCCAGTGACTTTTCTTGGGAGGGGAAGGTTTGAAGATGCATCAGAACCATGGCTGTGGATCTCAATGCACCTGACTTCTCAGGGCTTTATCTATAAATTAACAGCCCCCAACGGAAGAACAGTGTCTAAAGACTTGGCACTGACCCTGCTCTTGGATGCTACCACTGATTAATACTGTCCCTGAAGCCAGGAAGGGAATGCCGGGCGGCCGCCTGGGCCTGCTTTCCTCAGCCCAGTTGCCAGGCCAAATTACAGAATGGCTGGCGGCTCCATAAAGAGTCTAAAGTTTGAGACCTCAGGGTCAGGGATTCCTGATGACAAATAATTCTTATGAGGAAAGTGGATAAAAACGTGTTTATCAAGAACTGAGAATTATTATCTAGTTAAATTAAGCAGAGGTATAGGGGGGTCCATTTCAGCTCATTCCTTTAAGTAAAGCCCTTAAAAATAAATGGAACTCCCCTACTTCATGTTGTCTGACTTGCAGCCAGGTATGTAGCCCTAAGTTATAAGTTCCAGCATACATGTTATTAATAATTAAAGACAGCTAATATTACCAATCTGGCAACTAGTGACATTTCATGATCATAAGCCTTAAAAATTTAATACAAGTATAATTTTTCCTGAATATAGAATGCTTACACATTAAAATACCAAAGGCACTTTTAGGTTACATGATAAACAAAAATACATTAATAGAGACATAATTATTTATTGGTTGCTTCAGTTTCTGTGTCCATGGTGATCATCGAGGGCCCAGTTTTGCACTTCACCTTTGGCGAATAGCGTGAAGAATGTGGCACCAAATACATTAATAGCAGCAGCAATCCAGAAAACAGTTTGCCATTCTCTAATAGTGTTCTGTTGAGAAAGAAAAAAATGCATATAAAATTTTTTTGTTTGTAGCCCACCTTATAGAAAGGTGATGTCACAAGAGTGTTACAATAGTAACATTATTCATAAAAGAAGTAACCCCAATGTCCATCAACAGTGAGACTATGGTGCATTTGTTCAATGGAATACTATACAGCAATGAGAACAAATGAGCTATAACAACATATATATCTCACCAACAAAATGCTAAATTAAGCAGAAGAAGCCAGACATAAAAGTACAAACTGAATTCTCAAAGATCAGACAAAACTAATTTATGCTGTTAAAAGTCAGGAAAGTGGTTCTTCTTGGTGGGGGTGAAAAAGGAATGGTAGGAAGGGGTCCCTGGGGGCTTTGCAAAGGAGGTAATGTTCTGTTTCTTGACTGGGTGCTGGTTACATGGATGTATTAACTTTGTGAAAATTAATCCAGCAGTATACTTAGGATTTGTGCATTTTTAAATTCCATGGCATACTTCAATTAAAGTTTACTAAAAATAAAAAGTATGGCATGTCCTTGAATCATGCATTACTGGGAAAGTATCATGCCTGTACATCATGTCTCAAGTTCTTAGGTAGAGAACTTGGGACAAGTTCTTAGGGGAGGTGTCTGGGGCAGATCAAGTAAGAATGAGTTAAGATGGACTTGAAGGTCAGTTTGAGGCCTGGACTGAAAGATTCTGCATGGCTCTTGAATGGCACACAAAACAGGACATGCCTGGGACTTGTCAATAGGAGATCAACAAAATATAATTGCTCAGTGTAAAATCCAATGGTGTAAAAACATCAGGCAGTAATCTAAATTTCTAGGTCAGGTGACTAACTTTAACAATCATTTTTTGGATTTTTACAATTTCAATCTAACCTGAGTGCTACATTTGCAGCATTAAACAAACAAATGACCCCAGTAGAATTGGCAATGATATAGAAAAAGGCAGTAGGAAGCTAGTATGAGGTCATTTATTTAGGAAAAAAGGAAAAACATGAAGGAAGGAGTACTCTGTGGTTAAATTATACTTATCTGAGATGAATGTATTTTGCTGAAAAAAAAAAAATTTTAGAAATCCATCTTAAATTTTAGTGCCTATTTAAATATGCTAATAATGCGCCACTACCCTAGAAGAGGAGCCAGTCAGTGATTACATCATATACCAGAAAGGAACATTTAAGAGCTTCTTACGATTCCTAAGACAAAGCTTCTCTGTGTGATCTACAGGATAAAAGAATACCTCAGTGTCATTTGGAGGCAATGAATGACTTAAAATCAGTCAACTGTACCAGAAACCTCGCATAGCTCCTAGTTTGTTTTTTAACAAAAACTCCACCAGTTTTGAGAGAATGCTGTTTTGTTTATAACAAAATTGGATCTCAAGTACACTTTGACTTTTAATTATTTATTTATACTCTGACTTATTCCACAAAGTTTTTGAGGCAGGGTAGTAAAATGTAATTGTAAACAATTACAATTGTAAAGGCAAATGTATTCCTCCTTTTAAAAAATAGTATCTTTTTAATACTAAACAAACGCTACAACAACATATCTAAAATATGATTCAGTTCCCACTTTATAAACATTTAAGATTTTAATTCAAGAATCCATATTTCCCGAGCGTAAGTGCTAGGATGATCAATAAATGAAATTAATATATGGTAGTGTGTTGACTTACCTTCTTTTGTTGTCACAATGCTCTGTGAAGATAAGGTTAAACATTTCTGATGTGTCCATATTGAAACAGAATTTTAGAAAATAATTTTCCCAACATACCTCTTATTAAGTGAGAGAAAATAGTAACGAGGAAACATTTAAGTAATTACTGATTCATTTAACTAAGAGAAGAAATAGGAACATTATCTGTGGTGAACACATATATGTCAGAAACTGGTATATTTGGTAATAAGAAAGTTTGTATCCATATCTTAAAATTTAAAAGATTAGATAGAGTTAATTTGATCACAGAGACAAAACAAAGAGAAAATTAAGTCTCTTTTAGCTTTTTAAAGGATGTATTACACCAGTCCTTTAGATTTTTTTAAACAGTAGAAAACAGGAGATGGAAAAGGCCTTTGAGGTCATTCATTTTGATTTCTTACACAATGTAGGCAATCTTTTACATGGCAGAGTCTCTGTTTACTGATCTGGCCCCATGCTGCCAGCTACAGGGTGGCTGAACTCCGGCCCGCTTTCAGGGCCTAGTGCCCTTGCTGATCTGAGGCCCGGCCCTTCCCACACCCCTCGCTCACCGCTCTAGGGCTCCTTCCTCACTAATGCGTTATTCTCTCTTCTGTGCACACAGTACAGAAGAGAGAATATTTTTGTGTGCACAAAAATGTGCATGCATTTTTTCCCCTGCATTTGTCATGCTGTACTTTAACTATTTGATTATATATAATCTCTAAATGATGAGTTTCTCAAGTGCAGAAGCTGTCATTTTGCCTTTGAATCCTCAGTATCTGGCATATTAATAAGAACCCAAGAAATTCCTGTTGAATATATGTTTGACTATTTTGGGGCTCGCTAACTCATAAGGCAGCCCATTCCATATAGTAACAGCTTTAAGCAAAAAAACTTTCCTATTGCCTCCTAACTTCTTTCCATCTGTCTTTATGAAACTGCCGAGAATAAGTCTCTCTCTTTCATGTGGTAGTCAGTCCTTCAATATGTAAAGATATCATGTCTTCCCAAGTTTTCTCTAAACATTCTCGGTTATTTCAACTGTTCCTTATTCATTCTCTCATGTTTTCCTGACACCTTTCCTTTGTGGATCCACTTCTTGAATAATTTTACATTGCCAATTTTGACTCATTCAAACAAAAGACAAGTTATTTATCTGGTATAATATCACTTTTAAGTACTTGCATGGCTTTAGCTACAAGATCTTATTTAACTTAGTTCTATTGTTTTGTCTAAAATCCAAAGAGTACTCTTTGAAATGCCTATCTATTAAGGCATTTATTTGTTTGTTGCTATAAGGAACTACATAAGAATAAACATTCAGAATTTTACACTTAATTAAAATATACTCAACTTTGACACAGACGTGCAGCTTCAAGAAAACTGTTTAAACCTTTCTAGTTTACAAGTTAATTATTTACTTACTTCAGGGGTCAGACTTTTAGCAATGACAGGCCCAACCATTCCTGGAATAGTGGCAAATGTATTTGTAATGCCCAGGAGGATACCAGCATACCTGCAGAAACATTTTCACAGAGGTTTATTATTGTGTTATGCATTTATGTAGTTTTTTTCAGTAGATAGCTATACCGCTCTCAGGTTGTATTCTTGTGATATTTTATGTCTAAATGAACTGTCTTACTGAAATAGGACTGAATATTTAGCTGGTGAAAAACTTGCATTTCAATAGCTAATTAGCATTCTAACACTATATAGAGAAACATGGCCATTGAAATAATTTCTTTCACAGTGATATAGAAAAGTGCTGAGATATGACTTCCATATATGACTGTATCTAGATAGGAAGCTTGATGTGTCTTAATATTAAGCAAAAAAATTTATTTTGTGATTACAAAATTTATTTCATTGAAAACTTAAAAAGAAAAACATTAAGAAAATATTATAGAAATAAGATCATATTGTATATCAATTTCACAACTTACTTGCTCTACTAATTACATATCTGCTTGTAGCTAAATCTTTGTACACTGTCCTAGAAGTAGACAAGTTAGTTCTACAGTGTGTGTCTATGTGTGTGTGTATAACATAAATGCCTTTTAGTAAGCTTAGAAAAATTTCTGATTTATTTTAAAGAGAAGTCTTCAGTGAGTGGAATATTCTTATCTATGTTTAGATGCAAATCTTTAAAGAAAGAATTCCTGCCTTATTTGAGAAAAGCTAATCATCATTGATTTCTCCAATAGATAAGAAATTTGTATAGATTAAGGAAGATTACCAAAGCCAAGGTCTTAGATGCCATCCTAAAAAGAATGAGATGCTTATCATTTTCTATAAAGAAGTCATACTGGACTGGAATTTCAGGAGACCTAAAGATTCCTACCTAGTTCCACCATTAACCATCTGTGTGACTCTGAGTAAGTTAGTGATAGATTACTTCTTTTATCATTCATGGCTTCATAGATGTATACATGTAACATATCTTGTGGTCTCAACTGAGCTCCCCTACATCCCACCAAGTATACAAGAAAAAATTTTTTAAGTGTAACATGCATATGGAAATGTGTAAAAACCATAGGTGTACAGCTTGATGAATTTTCAGTGAACACAATGTTACTAGCACCTGATCAAGAAACAGAAGCTACTGGTATAAACATTTAAAAACACATTTTATGTATGGTTGAACTGCATCTCAGATTGTATAAACTTTAATCATAATATTGTTGTGTCACCCCTCTCCTACTCAAAAACCTACAAAGATGGTTTAATGCTCACTATAAGATTGTAATCTTCTGCCTGATTTGCAATGACCTGGCCTTTGTCCATCTACCCGGCCTATTTCCTAGTATCGCACAATATACTACTTTAGATCCAAAAGCTCTCATTCCAGTTGCTCACATCTGCCACACTTATTTCTGCTACTCCTCTTTATTCATACTATATTCACTATCTGAAATCCATACTCTTTCCATCCAAACCACTTGCTTGGCACCTCTCCCAAGAAGCTTTCTCTGTCTAGTTCAGTTCATATTGAGCCAACTTTTCAGAATCTTACTGTCCTTAAAGTTAGTACTACATGTTTTACGAGGTAATTGTTTTCTAATTCAAGTTTGCTAAATCTGACTCCATAGTCTCACTGCAAACTCGTGTGTTATTCTCCTTTATTATTTCCAGTGACCAGTGACAAAATATATGCTTATTAAATATGTGCTGACCAGAGAAGTGGCACATGACCCGCAGCTGTTCGAGGTTCCATGCATGGATCCATGGGGATCTGGCTGCACTGACTGCTGGAGCTTTGTCCTATGGGGACTAGTACCCCTCTTGGGCTTTGGCTCCAAAGAATGTCAGTTCCTGCTCAGGAATTTCACATAAATGGAATCAAACAGTATGTAACCTTTTGAATTACATACTAAGGTTGCTGAGCATCATTCCAAGTTGTGTTTCAATAGTTCCTTCCTTTTTTATTGTTCTCTAATTGAAGAAACTGGGACTTTATCCTGTAGATAGTCCTACATTCTGGATTTTGTAGATTGTGTCTCTGAGGTATCATTTAACATAATCTTATGTGCTCTGTATTTCCTATACACTGGTAGTAGTACATAGACTCTAGATCCTAGAGCATTCATTAGATTTAGCTTTGACATTTTTAGCAAGAAAACTTAAAGGTGGTGGTTAAAAATTAGTTAACCAAGTAAATGGCATTTATTATTTTTCATAAAATCACCTATGCATAAAAAATGTCTAATTCGAGCTTTTAATTTTTTCATGAGATAATCAGTGTTATTATAAAATTTCAGTCAAAATTAACAAAGCTTGATTTTATTAGTCTGTATAATCTTATTGTGGGATAGTATTATTTCTATTAGGTTTACAACCCTCAATACTTTGGCTGCAAGATTACTGATCTGAAATTCCTCTCCCCATTTTAGATATGGAAAAGTGTCTGCTACGGTCTGAATTGCATCCTCCCCAAATTCTTATGTTGAGATCCTAACCCCCAATGTGACTGTATTTGGAAATAAGGCCTTAGGAAGTAATTAAGGTTAAATGAGATAAGGGTGGGGTCCTAATCCAATAGAATTGGTAGACTTATAAGAAGAGGAAGAGAGATCTCTGTGAGTAAATACTGAGGAAAGGCCATGTGAAAACACAGAAAGAAGTTGGACTGACTGCAAGCCAGGAAGAGTCCTCACCAGAACCTGATAATGCAGGCACCATGATCTTGGACTTCCAGGCTCCAGAACTGTAAGAAAATAAATTTCTGTTTTTTAAGCTACCTAGTCTACGGCATTTTGTATAGCAGCCTGAGTTGACTAATATGGTGCCTGAATAAAAAAATCCTATTAAACAGTTATCTATGAACATCACAAATTTGAACACAGTTCAAAACTCATGTATACAGGATACAGTGACAAAACCATGAGACACAGATCTTTCTGGCTTATGCCCTTTAGGGAGTGTATCTTAAATTAACCAAGCTTGGCAGAACTTCTTTTTTTTTTTAAACCATTAACACCTTGGCAGTAGGAGGAACTGACTGCAATGTTGCCAGGGCTTTTCAGTGACAGATATTAAGTGCAGATGAATGTTGTGAATTCTGAATGTCAGCACCAAGAAGCTCATTCAAGTATTTCTATTACACTTGGCCAGAAAGGGCCATGAAAGATTGATGACTGCTTGGGAGAAATATATTGTATGAATTCAGTCTGGATTCAGTGCTATTGGAGTGCTAGAATTCTGTGGGATTCACTGTGAAGAAAATCTATCCAGTTCTCTTGAATCTGGGCAACAAAATTATCCATAGAAAACCTCTATTTAAATCTATAGAAGAAAAGGCTTAGAAAATACTATCCACACATTTATATGTTAACAGGAATACTACTTATTGAAAAATCTTATGTCAGGTATGGTCCTAAGTATCATTCATATATATATATATCATATCATGATATATAACAGTAATTTCAACCTCACAAGGTAGGGATTATGATCTTCATTCTATAGATGAAGAAAGACTATAAAATGTTACCCAATTTGTTTGATTCCAAACCAGTAGTTAATATTATAATGTTATAATCTCTAATGCTGCCTTGTTAAAAACATAGTTATCACTAAATTCAATTTGTAGGAAAGATCAATTTTCTCATGCTTAATTTTTCACCACAAGCCCTAGTGCCGAATGCTTAAAGGTCTGTGGTCCTCAAGTGTTACCCACTGCGTGGGCACTAAGTTATTACCAAAGACAAAAGGCACTAAGCAACAACATGGTCGTAAGATATGTAATCCCTGCGTTAACCAAGACACAGGGAACTAGAAACAACTAGTATGCTCTGAGCCAAGAAATTCTAGTTGGAAAATAAAAAATGAAAGCTTATCTGAAAGGATGATTCAAAATATAAAGGAGAGAAATAATTTTAACTTTGATGAGAGTATCTTCCACTTGTATAGCTGTATAATTTTCAAAATTACATTTGTTGTTAACATACATACATAGTTGATCACAGCCATAAATCTGGTGCCTCAGTCATCTTAGAGCAAGTACAGCATTCTTCATTACCTGAAGCAAACAAGTGCGTACCATTCTCCTAACTTCTACAACTATTTGCTGGCATCATTTATGTTACTAAGTGGTTTAGCTTCATATTATATCTAGGTAAATGTCTTTTTTGACTTATAAGACTCACGAAATGTCATGGCTGGATCAGGGTCTTTAAGATGTAGAGTTCAACCACTCGGCTGATGCTTGAAGCCCTGTTCCAGGATCCCTCCTGTAAACTGTCCAGTATAGGCTTCAGGGCATGGCCTTATCACCCTTTGCTATGACACTAGCTGTGACTTAGGAAGTCACATAACAATCTGTGCCCAAATTTCTTCATCTTTGAAATGAGTCCTTTGCATTCATATCTTCATGAGTTATAGTTGATGTAATGATGGCTTCCAAAGCATCTATTACCATGAGGTTTGAGGGCCATCAATTCCTTTGCCCTTAACTTTAGGGGTGGGTGCTTACTGTCCTAAAGTCAAATGGTATTCCCTTGGCAATAGGGGTTGCTTCACGGTGGGTATGTGACTCAGTTTGATTCAACCAAAATGAAGTTCAAGACTTATTTCCATGACTGGGAGAGGAAAAGATCCTTCTCTTTCTTGCTTGACATGAATGAAGCAGCATGTGATTCTGGTCATTACTGGCAAGCTTTTCATTGTGTGACTTTACAAGCAGACTCAGCCTTAGTATAATAGTAGTATCATAAAAGGCAGAGTAGTGAGTGAAAAAGAAACAAGTCAGGAATATTAGTAGACAGCTGGATATCAACTCTTGCCTGAAGCCTATTGTTTCTGGACTTTACACACTAAAATCTAGATATGTTATGAATCGCTAGATTATGCTTTTTAGCCATCTTGAATGAGGATTTCTATTGTTTAAACTAAAAGCACCTAAGCGATTACACAGCCTAGATCTCTTTTGTGCCCAAACTCTTAATTCCCATATCACTCTGACTGTTCACTAAGCCTAAGCTTGTTAAAATCTCATGCCTAGATCAATCCAACAGCACA